CACTGATCCTCGACCGCATTCGCAAGACACTGACCGACCGCTTTGAGCGTCCCGGGCGGGCCATCTTCTGGAAGCAGCTCTTCAAGTACTTCTGCGCCTACAAGAACTTCTGGATCGACCACGGCTACGACACGCCGCTGGTCAATCACTTTATCTGCAAGAAGGTCCAGGGGCAGCTCGGCGGTCGGGTGCAGTTCATGATCATCGGCGGGGCGCCGCTCAGTCCGGACACGCAGCGGGTGATGCGCGCCTTTCTCAACGTTAAGCTGCTCATTGTGAGTGCCTTCTTCTTGGTTAACTTTTATTTAGAAAATGTTTTTAATCTTTTCATCTTTTTATTAGGGCTACGGCTCCACGGAGACCTGCGCCGGCTCCTTCATCACCGACTTTGACGACATGTCCATCGGCCTGATTGGCGCCCCGCTGCACGGCGTCAAGCTCCGCCTGCTGGACTGGCCCGAGGGCGGCTACTCGGTGAATGACAAACCGAATCCGCGGGGTGAGCTGGTCATTGGCGGCGACATGATCACCAAGGGCTACTTCAAGCTGCCGGAGCAGACGGCAGAGGCCTACGAGGAGCGCGACGGCGTCAAGTGGTTCAAGATGGGCGACATTGGCGAGGTCTATCCCAATGGGACGGTGAAGATTGTCGACCGGAAGAAGGATTTGGTAAGGAAGAGGAGGAGGAGTTTTGGGGGTGAAGATGATTTTATCTAACTGTTTTTTGTGATCACCCCTCAGGTCAAGCTGCAACAGGGCGAGTACATCTCCCTGGGCAAGGTCGAGGCGGAGCTGAAGAACTTCAAGTACGTGGAGAATGTCTGCGTGTACGGCGACTCGCTGCGCACCTTCATGATCGCCTTCATCTCGCCGAGCATCGGCGCCCTGAAGCGCCTGGCCGTGGAGCACGGCAAGGGCGACCTGACGCTGGCGCAGTGGTGCGAGGACGAGGAGCTGGTCCGCCTGGTCACCAAGGAGCTGGCGGAGTTTGGCGCCGAGTGCGGCCTCAACCGAATGGAGATTCCGCAGCGCGTCAAGCTCTGCCACGAAGNGGAGTGTTAATACAGGATTCCTCACCGCCAGCATGAAGATCAACCGCCGAAACATTCAGAAGTTTTACGCCGATTCGATTGAAAAGATGTACGCCTAAAAAAAGAAAATTACTGTGGTGGTGATGGTGGTGATCATCAGTGGCCATCAAAGTGCTGATGATGCTGCGCACCGCACTGCTACCCTTCTTTGGGCTGTAAGTACTTCCTCCTCCTCCTCTTTTTCTTCTTTCACCCTCCCC